CCAGAATGTTTTCGACATTAACCCCTCCATCACAGTGCAGCCTGCAAAACCCTGGCTAGTATTGATTATTTTATAAAGTGCACAATTGGAGTATATCTACATCACACTGCCCAGTTGTAAGTTGTTTTACAGAAAAAACCCCTTGATCAGACTGCAGTCTCTACCTCATTCCCCAGTGTATACTGTTTTAGATATATTGCCCTTGATCAGAATGCAGTCTGTACCACCCTCACTGGTATACATTGTTTACATATAAACCCCTGGATCAGAGTGCAGTATGTAACTCACTCCCCAGTGTGTGCTGTTTTACATACAAACCCCTCGATCAGAGTGCAGTGTGTAACTCTCTCCCCACTCCGTTGTTTTATATATAAGCCCCTTGATCAGAGTGCAGTATATAACTCACTTGACAGTATTTGATGTTATATATATAAATCCCTCAATCAGAGAACTGTTTGTAAGTCTGTTCTCTCACTGTTCTGATACAGACAGAGTCTCTAAAGAGCCTGATGGAGGATTACAAGTAGTGGATGGCTTTACAGTGATGTCGGCTGACCTTTCACTTCAACGGTGTCGAGCTGATGAAGAGCAGCACTTCCCGGGACAGCAGGATGGAGAGTGACAATAGGATCGATGTCCAGATGTGCTGTTCCTGAACGCTGGGCTAGGAACTGTGTCAGGAAAGAGCAATCTTTCATTCGATCTGGGGATAAAGGTGTCTGTCGTACATATTGACACTTGACCCAGATCATGTTCCAGTCCTGTGATGGTTCTTGCAGTCAAATAGCCAGAGAACAGCTGCTCCCCATGTTGTGTTCAGAGTGAACTCCTCTTGTAATTAATTGTACAGAGCTTCGATCAATCCAATTATTGGCAACATACTGTTCATTTATAAAGAGAAATGTTGTCTTGGTTTGTAGCTGCTACAAAATGAACCTCTCCTCTTCTCTCTTAAACTGAAGATGAAGCTGCCTTTACATTGTCCATATCAAACACTCGCTGGACAGGGACAGCATCAGTTTATAGGCTGTAAAGCTGTCGCCACACACTGACAGACTTTGAGTCTGAAAATCTGCTGAATAGATAAATATGAAGTATCATTTTTAATGCTGTAGGTTTACCCACAATGCCCTTAGGGAGGGAGTCCAGGATTTTGACCCAGTAACAATAAAGGGACAACAATCTCGTTCCAAGTCAGGATGCTGAGTGCCTTAGAGAAGAACTTGCAGGACGTGCTGTTCCCATGCATCTGCCGTCCTTGTCCTTCCAGATTGAAATGATCATGGGTTTGGAAGGCGCTGTCTAAGGAGCCTTGGTGAATTTCTGCAGTGCATCTTGCAGATCATACACATTACTGCTACTGAGTATTGGTGGTGGATGCTTGTGGGTGTGGTGACAGGCAAGCAGACAGCTTTGCCCTAGATGGTGTCGAGCTTCTTGAGTGTTGCTGGAGCTACACCCATTCAGGCAAGTGAAGTGTTCACATGTCAATGGTGGTTAGGCTTTGGGGGGAGCTATTCAAATCATCTGCCATCCTACTTTTGCTACCAAAGTGGATAACCTCACATATATCCAATTATGCTGCATCAGCTGTGCATTTGCTCACTTGTGTGCGCGTGTGTCTGTGTTTCTATGTGTCAATATGTATGTCTGTGTGTCTGTACGCATGTATGTATATGCACGTATCTCTAAGTTTGTGTGTGTGCCTGCAAGGGTGAACCTCTCTGTGTGTCCGTGTTTATGTGTGTCAGTGTCTGTGTGAATTTGTGTTTCAGTGTGCCTCTATATGTGTGTGTTGGTGTATTCGTGTGCGTATCCCTGACTTCACCTCTGTTCAATGGAGTCTCTGTTGTTTTGGGAATAAATCCATGAACCTGCAGGTCAAAGTCTCACTTGCCTCTCTTGCTCACTATCTCTCTCTTTCTTTCTCTCCCACTCCCCACTCCCCACTCCCCGCTCTGTCACTCCTGTGTTAACAGTGATACAATGCTTTTTTCCCAGAAGGCATCAAAACCTGGGAATCTCTTAGGTTTCACAGTTGTTTTGTTCTTCGAGAAATGACTTTAGCGACAGAAAGCAGTTCTGTCTGATCCTTTGCCATGTTGTCCATCAGAATATTCATAAATGAAGATGAATATTCCCAGTGCTGGCCCTTCCCCACCATGTGGTCTGTCTCAAGACTTTTTGTTTCCTTTCTCACTTATAATCTGTAACAGTCCACAAAACACTGCGAGTTACAGAAAATTGCAATAAAATTCATCTCGGTATGGTTAGTAAATTTGCAGGTGACACCAAAATTGATGGTGTAATGTACAGCGAAGAAGGTTACCTCAGAGTACAATGGGACCTTGATCAGATAGAGTTTAATCGAGGTAAATGTGAGGAAAGGCATTTGGAAAGGCAGATCAGGGCAGTACTTGTACACTTTGTTTGCCAAACAAAGGGACTTGGAGTGCAGTTTCATAGTTCCTTGAAAGTGGAGTCGTAGATAGACAGGATAGTGAAGTAGGCATTTGTAACACTTGCCTTTATTGGTCAATGCATTGAGTTTAGGAGTTAGGAGGTCATGATGCGGCTGTACAGGACACTGGTGAGGCCACTTCAGGAAACAATATGCAATCTGGTCTCCCTGCTGTAGGAAAGATGTTGTGAAAATTGAAAGGGTTCAGAAAAGATTTACAAGGATGTTGCTGGGATTGAGCAAAAGGGAGAGGCAGAATAGGCTGGGGCTATTTTCCCTGGAGCATTGGAGGGGTGACCTTATAGAGGTTTATAAAATCATGAGGGGCATGGATAGGGTGAATAGTCCAGGTCATTTCCCCAGGGTGGGGAGTCCAAAACTAGAGGGCATAGAGTAATAAGGCATAGAAACAGGCCCTTCGGCCCAAACTGGTCCATGCTAACCATGGTGCTCACTCAACTAGTTCCATTTGGTCCATATCCCCCCTAAACCCTTCCCATCCATGTACCTATCCAAATATTTTTTAAATGCTGCTACTGTACCTGCCTCAACCACTTTCTCTGGCAGCATATTCCATATACGCACCACTCTTTGCATGAAGAAGTTGCCCCTCAGGTCCTTCTTAAATCCATCCCCTCTCACCTTAAACCTATGCCGTCTAGTTTTCAATTCCTCATCCCTTGGAAAAAGACTATATGCATTCATCCTATCTATGCCCCTCATGATTTTATACACCTCAATAGGGTCACCCCTCAATCTCCTACGTTCAGGGAATAAAATCTTATCCTCGCCAACCTCTCCCTATAACTCAGGCCTACTAGGCCTGGCAACATCCTTGTAAATCTTCTTTGCACACTTTTCAGTCTAACTATGTCTTTCCTATAACAGGGTGACCAAAACTGTGCACAACACTCCAGGTGCAGCCTCATCAACGACTTATACAACTCTAACATAACGTTCCAACTCCTTTACTCAATGCCACGACTAATGAAGGCTAGCATATTAAATGCCTTCTTCACCACCCTGTCCACCTGTGATGCTGCTTTCCACAAACTATGTACTTGTCCTCCTCGGTCCCTCTGTTTCACAACACTCCTCAGGACCTTACCATTTACTGTACAAGTCCTGCCTTGGTTTGATTTTCCAAAGTGCAACACCTCACACTTATCTGTATTGAATTGCGTTTGCAAATCCTCATCCCACTTCCCCATCTGATCGAGATGCCTGTGTAATTTTTAAAAACTTCTTCACTATCAACAGAACCTCCTAATTTTTACCATCCACAAACTTACTAATCATGCCTTGTACATTCCCATCCAGATCATTTATGTAAAATTTTGTTTACATTTACATAAAATAGGTTTAAGGTGAGAAGGGAAACATTTAAAAGAGACACAAGTGGCAACTTTTTTTTTTTTTTTTTTTTTTTTTTTTTTACGCAGAGCGTGGTGAATGTTTGGAATGAACTGCCAGAGGAAGTCATGGAGGCTGCAACATTTAAAAGGCATGTGGATGGGTATATAAATAGGAAGGGTTTAGAGTGATATGGGCCAAATGCTGGCACATAGGACTAGATTAATTTAGGATATCTGGTCAGCATCAATGAGTTGGTCAAAGGGTCTGTTTCCACGCTGAACATCTCTATGACCTGAAAAAAAGACAGTTCAGCCGAAGGTGCCTGGATACAGTTGCAGTGGACATACTCTTTAATATTTACATTCTGTATCAGGAATGCTATTCAAAGACAAATCATTTTCATACTGCAGAGGGAGTAGAAATATTTCTCCAGATGAGCATGTTCTACTCTGAGGGGCCTCAAAATAATTGTAATATTCCTTACACCAGCCTTGTTCTGTGTGTGTGCGTATCTGTGTTGAAGAGGTGCTGTAAGGTTGGATGGTGCTGTCATCTGTGGAGAGGCCAGCAGAGAGAGGCACTTTAAACAGCACAGAGACAGCCAGACCTGCCCACACCCCAAACACAGAGACACACTAGTATAGGATAATACACATCTTTGGACAGTGGGATAAAATCAGAGGAAACCCATGCAGACACAGGGTAGGAAATAAAATCTGCAAACACATACAAGCCCTCACAGAGAGAACACATACACACACAAGCTGAAACACTCAAATTCCCCCTGAAACTTCTAGATTACATTGCAGCCTGAGATCACTCTCAGGCATCAGTTATTTCAAATAAAAATAAAAACATTTGAGCTATTTATTAAATTCCTACTAGGTTTCAGTATATGTTTAAACCTCTGAACCCTTGATTAGACTATAGTCTGGGTATCTGTTATTCTCCCATATGGGAGGCAATTGCCTAATGGTATCATCGCCGGACTGTTAATCCAGAGACCCAGATAATGTTCTGGGGACTTACGTTCGAATCCCGCCATGGCAGATAGTGGAATTTGAATTCAGTAAATATCTGGAATTAACAATCTAATGATGACCATGAATCCATTGCTGATCGTCGGGAAAAAAACCCATCTGGTTCCCTGATGTCCTTTAGGGAAGGAAACTGCCATCCTTACCTGGTCTGGCCTACATGTGGCTCCAGACCCACAGCAATGTGGTTGACTCTTAACTGCCCTCTGGGCAATTAGGAAAGGATTTTCTGAAGAAGGGTCCCGACCCGAAACATCAGCTTTCCTGTTCCTGTGATGCTGCCTGGCCTGCTGTGTTCCTCCAGCTCCACACTGTTATCTCAGACTCCAGCATCAGCAGTTCTTACTATCCCCGAGAGTAATGGAGTACTTGCTGCAGTGACACAAACAGAAATTCCTGGAAAAGCTCACCAGATCCAGCAGCATCTGTGGAGGGAAATCAGAGATAATATTTTGAGTAGAGTGACCCTTCTTCAGAACTAGAGTACTTGCCCCAATGATACAGGGCCCTGATCACACACGCTGTTTCACCCACACACTTACTAAGGGACATGAATGACGAAATAATGTTGAGATTTTGGAACATTATAGCTTAATTAAACAATCCCTGACGGCAGGATTAACACAGGACATTCACACATTGTGGTCAGGTTCAGGACTCACTTCCCTCTAGCACCGAGAGGCTCCTATTTCACACATTGTATTGGAATCAGATGCTGTGTTAGGGAGCGGGAAATGGTACACGGGATTCAGACAACTGCTCATGTGGATGTTAAGTACCAGGAATCTAGCAGAGAATCAGAACAGAACAGTGAGAATCAAACAAAGAACTTGGTGTTGAATTTGAGTAGCTCTATTCTTGTTGAGAATGTTGAACCAGTGATATTTTGACCCTGTGGTATTGTAGTCAAGACTTCAGGGATACGTCTTCATGTGTGTGCGTGCGTGCGTGCATGTACAGCGTTAGATACATTGTATCTAACCCTGTCCTGTCCCTGTCCCGGGAATGTATGATGGGGACAGTGTAGAGCGAGTTTTAATTTGTATCTAACCCTGTGCTGTTCCTGCCCTGGGACTGTTTGATGGCGACACTGTGGAAAGAGAACTACACTGTATCTAACTCTGTGCTGTCCCTGTCCTGGGAATATTTGATGGGGTCAGTGCAGAGAGAGCATTACTCTGTATCTAACCCCATGCTGTCTCTGTTCTGGGAGTGTTGGGTGGGAAATAATGTGGAGAGACATCTACTTTCTGCTTAAAAGAATAGTGGGAGATCTACTCTGTTTCTAGTCCTGTGCTGTGATTACACAGAGTCATGAGGCCATTAGCTGATCCTGTTTATATATAACTTGAATCTGAATGACAGAAAATCCCTTTCACAGCATTGTTTACAGTCAGGAAGTGCAGAAACATTCTTGGTGTTGCACCACCATTGTGAAATAAGGAAGCCACTTATACAGGGAGTTTGCCCACACACTGTGTGGATTACAACAATGTGGGCAATGAAGGGGCTACTTGCTGTCCTCCTCTTCCTCTCCTGGGGAAGTAACTGTTTTATTCTTTAAAATTGGCCTTCTGTATTGAGAAGTAATGGCTGGACAGCGAACACTCTCCCGACTTGATGTCTAAGCATTCCTGAAGTAACAGGGATGCGAAATAGGTTCACTACTATCAGAGTACGAAGGGACTGCTTGTGAATGACAATCCAAAATCATCTTTGTTCTATCTCCAAACAGCGTCAGATATAGAACCCTGAAGCGCAGTCTTAGACTGAAATATTCAACATATCTGCACTCTCTCCTGATATCCCTGTGTCAATCCCCAAACCAATCCTACTGTCCTGCGCTCACCCATAGCTCTGAATCAATCCTCAAACTAATTCCACTGCCCTGCTGTCTCCCTATAGCCTTGTATCAAATACCAAACTAATACCCTATCCTGATATCTCCCTATTCCCCGTACCAATCCCAAACAAATCCCACTGTGCCATTCTCTCCCCATAGCCCTGTATCAATCCTCAAACTAATCCCACTGTCCCACTCTTTCCCTATATCCTTGTATCAATTGCTAAGCCCTCATCCTGCTATCTCCCTGTATCCCTGCATCAATCCCCAAACTAATCTCACTATGCCGCGCTCTCCGCATAGCCCTGTATCAACCCCAAACTAATCCCACTGCCCAATCTCTCCCCATAATCTTGTATCATTCCCCAAACTAGTCTAATGCAAGCTGTTATGCTTCTGTTATATAGGATATTCAGAAGACCACTTCTTTAAAACTGTTTGCAGCATTAGTCTCCTTGTTCAGAGATTGTCAAAGAGAAACACGGCTTTCAGCCCACCATATCTATGCCAACCAACAAACACCAATCTACACTTATCCCATTTACCTGCACTTGGTCCATAGCCTACTATGCCCCGGCATGTTAAGTGCTCGGCCAGATCCTTCTTAAATGTTGTGAGAGTACCTGCCTCCATCACTGTCTCAAGCAGCAATGTTCCATATTTTTCCCACCCTCAGTGATTTTTTTTTCAGATGCCCTCAAAATCACTAGCTCTCCACCTCCTCCTCTGTCTTCACCCACAGAGTGGGCAGCGTGTGGACTTCGCTGCCACAGGAAGCGGAGAACAAAATGTTGTACGTTTTCAAGAAGTTAGAAATAGCTCTGAGGGATAAAGGGACCAAAGAGTTTTGGGGAGTGAGCAGAAGCTGAAATTGGATGACCATATTGAATGGGCAGAACAAGGAAGGAGCGCCAAATGGTCTACTCCTCCTCCTATTCACTTCGGCTGATCTCTTGGTCCTGAGCACTCCCTCATTTCTGTCTCTGAATTTCTGTTGAGCACTAAGTGCTTTAGAAAGGGTAGAGCTGTGAATCTCCTCCCCATCCAAGTGTAGGCAGCACGTGGTGTTAGATAGGCGGGAATGTGCAGCCTTGCTGGAGGAGGTGGATGGTTCTCAAGTCAATGCTGTTAACTGGTCCTCAGCACTGCATTCTGATGCATTCCTCTCCAACTCTTACCCCTAATCTAAGTTTGCAAAGATATCAACATTGAAATGGAGGCAGCATAGAGCTTTAATGTCACCAAGGATTCACACTTCGGGCAAAAGATGGCACAGTTCCAAAGCAGCACAGATATGTGGTAAGTGCAAAGGACAAGTGTACCGATATCTCCCTGAGAGACTGGGGGCTGACGGAGACCAGTCATTGCACAGATATCTCCCCAAGAGGGGGCAGGCTACTGAGAGACACCAGTCAGTGTGCAGATATCTCCCTGAGAGACACCAGTCCGTGTACAGATATCTGCCGGAGAGAGAAAGAGTGGGATAGCAGAGGGAATCTGAGAAGCACCAGTCAATGTACAGATATCTCCCTGAGCAAGAAAGAGAAGGAACTGAGAAACAACATTTGGCATTTTTGTCTGACATAACCCATTCATCATCCTATGATAAATGCATCTATCAGGTAAGTCACCTTACTTACCAATCTGGTATAGACAAACTGAAGTCCGCTTTCAGAAGTACTTCTGCAAAAGTAAAAACAGCAGTGTTTCAGATTTCAGCATTCCTGTTCCTCCGAAGCTGCCTGACCTGCTGTGTTCCTCAGCTCCACGCTTTGTTATAACTATTCCAGCTCCTACGTGAAACGGTCTACTGACTGAAAATATCTAAATGCTCACTGCTTCATTTTTACTTGCGAATCTTTTAAAATGATCTTGTGCTAGCCTACATGCTGCCATAAGTCTTACTACAATCATGATCATGTAACCTCACATTCTCCCCAACACAAACTTCTGATCTCACGCCTATCAATTTATTCACGTCGCTATAGACAACGCGCGTGCGCAATTCAACGCTTCTGAGCGGCTGGTGAAAGACATGACCATGCGCAGTTCACCACACAGACATCTCGTGTGCGCAGTTCATCACCACGCAACGAATGCATTGTACTGAAATTGCCGACACTGCGCGCAGGCGCGGTTCAACACCGCTCGACCGGCGCTGCGTGCTGACACCGTGCGCAGGCGCAATTCAACGCCAATCGACCGGCTCAGTGGCTGGTAAAACAAACTACGAGGCGCAGGCGTAGTTCACCACCTAGATACCGCGCAGGCGGAGTTCATCATTGATCCACCGGCTCGGAAGCTGGTACTGCCGACCCCGTGCACAGGCGCAGTTCAGAATGCCGGATCCGCGCGCAGGAGCACTGCTGACCACCTAATATCCATCCGGGTATTACCGAGAGGCGGGCAAGGGGTGGTTTATCAACAGCAAGGCAGAAGGACGGGGTTTCAGTTTCTCTCAGAGTCAAAGTGAAGATTGGAGTCAGTGTTCATCTCTAAGTACTGTCTGTCTGCATGTGGGCCATACTAAAGTTGCCCATAGTGTCTGGGGATGTGCAGTTTAGGTGGAAAAGCCATGAGAAACGCAGGGCTGCAGGGAAAGGGTAGGGGAATGCTCATCAGAGAGTCAGTGAGTACTTGTTGGGAAGAGTGGCCTGTTTCCAAACTAGGGATTCTATGAAAATGGGGAACACCCCGAGAGAGAGGGGTTTGAGATGAGCAGCTAAGCTTCACTTTTTGAGGACAATTACAGTTGGACAATGAGAGAGAGAGATTTGAGATGGTCAGCTCAACTCCACCTTCTCCAGGACAATTACAGATAGACAATAAGAGACAGAGAGGGAGGGGTTTGAGATGGTCAACTCAGCTCAGCTCTGCTCTGCTCCACCATCTCCAGGACAATTACAGATGAGCACTGTCATGGGGAGGCAATGGCCTGGTGGTATTATCGCTAGAAAGTTATTTCAGAAACTCTGCTAATGTTCTGGGGACGTGGATTCAAATCCTGCCATGGCATATGGTGGAATTTGAATCCAATAAATAAGCTGGAATTAAGTGTTGAATGATGACCATGAAACATTATTGATTATTTGAAAAGTCTGTCTGGTTCACTAATGACATTTTGGGAAGGAAACGTGTCATCCTTACCTGGTCTGGACTACATGTGATTCCAGGTCCACAACAATGTGTTGATTCAAATGGGCAATGAATGCTAGCCTACCAGGCAACGCTTACGTTTACATCTTGTGAAAGATTTTTTTTAAAAATGTGTAAAGATATAAAGTGCACCCCTGTTTGATGCAGAGCCTTGGGATGAGATCTAACTTTGATTACACAATCTGTCACCACCATGGCTGACAGTTCATACAGGGGAGAAGATCCAGCAACTTCAACAAGAATGCTCATGGACACAGGTAGGTTTACAGTTATTTTAAAATATTATTCCAGTCACGCTAACTGTCCAAGTCGTGACCAAGTCTCTGCTGCTCACACAGGAAGAGAAAACAGGACAGGGTCTGTGTTGAGAGAGTGTATTGAGTGAATGGCTGGAGGGACATTACACTCACCACTAAGTACAGGAACTGTCCAGTACAGTCGGGGCTGTAAGTTGGATAGTAGCACCTTCTCAGAGTGCAGGAGGCCACCAAGGACAAGACACAGGGGAGAGACAGGTAGAATACGATTAGTCAAGTGTGTCATAGAGCCACACAGCACGGAAACAGATCCTTCAGTCCAACTCATTCATTCCAACTAAGTTTCCCAAACAAAATTAGTCCGACTTGCCTGCATTTGGCCAATATTCCTCTAAATATTTCCTATTCATGTACTTGTTCAAATGTCTTTCAAATGCTGTAACTGTACCTGCATCTACTTCTGCTGGCAGATTATTCCACATACGAACCATCCTCTGTGTGGAGAAAGCTGCCCCTCAGGTCCCTTTTAAATCTTTCTCCCCTCACCTTAAAAATATGCCCCATAGCTTTGAATTCCATCTCCTGAGGGAAAAGACCTTTGCTGTTCATCTTATCTGTGTTCCACATGATTTTGTAAGCCTCTATAACCCCTCAACCTCCAGTGAAAAAAGTCCCAGCCTGTTTTTATAACTCAAATCCTCCAGTCCAGCAACATCCTCGTAAATCTTTTCTGAACATTCTCCAATTTAATAACGTCCTTCCTGTAGCAGAGTGACCAGAACTGGATACAGTACTCCAGAAGAGTCTTGTATGACCTCAACATGACATCCCAACTCCTATACTCGGTGGCCTGAGCAATGAAGGCAAGCGTGTTAAATGCCTTCTTAACCACCCTGTCTACCTGTCATGCAAAGAATGATGTACCTGACCCCTGGGTCTTTCTGTTTGACAACACCACCTAGGGCCCTACCATTAATTCCTGACCTTGTTTGTTTCACCAAAACACAATACTTTGCATTTATCCAAATTAAACTCCATCTGCCAGTCTTCAGCCCATTGGCCCAATTGATCAAGATGCCTTTGTAATCTTAGGTAACCTTCTTCACCAATTTTGATGTCATTCACAAACTCACTAACTATGCCTCCTCAATTCTTATCCAAATCGTTTACATGAAGACAAACAATAGCGGACCCTGCGGAACACTGCTGGTTGCAGGTCTCCAGGGATTGTGCTGAGAAATTCTATAGTCAGGGAAATAGACTCTCTAGATCCCTCACTGAGGAGGTCTCAAATGGTAATCTTTCACCCCTGGGGCAGAGGGCATTGTATCCTGTAATATTTGACCCATTTCTCATGGGACACATGCAGAGAAAGTAGTCTGGCTTGGAAGGAATAACATGCATGCAAATATGTTTCTCGAGTTAAGGTTAATTTTGAGTACTGGTAGGAAGCAGACCTCGAGGTAATGAGTTTTGTGATGTGTTTCTGAGGGAGGCCAGATTGCAAGAACACAAGAAATAGGAGCAGAGGTTGGTTGCCGGCCTGCTTTGCCTGCTCCACAAGTCAGTAAGATCACGGTCTTGGGCTTTAGCTGCACCTTCCTCCCTACCACACACACACACACACACACACACACACACACACACACACACACAC